TTCGATCGGGGCCGTATTAATTTGTTTTTGTTACATGCCAATGCTTTTGTCTGAAAATATCTTCTGTTGTTTTGGGGCGTTTTATTTTTATGTTTAGTTTGGCTTTTGTATAAGCAAAAAATAATGCTTAAACTATAATTGTTCCCAAAATAACAATGCCATCATATATTGACGAAAACTCATGCATGGTTCTAAGTTGCCACGTATCTTATTACGATTAGTTCTCATTGATCGAACCAACTGATGATTTAGGAGTGAAATTTTTTGTTCTGTTTAAAGGAAGACAAGCTTCTTTATAACTTTTGATCAAACAATTCCTTCATTATGAGGTGTATCTTCTTAATGGAAGAGGAGGAGTCCTGTATTTTCCTTAAACTACAAGAAACGTATATACAGCGGAATTGGTAAATCGGTGGTAGAGAGGAAAATTACGTAATTCATCATTAAAAAAAAATGACAAATTATGTACAATACACAAGTAACTTTCAGGTGACAATAATAAAGGTTTTAATGTTTCTATAGAGAAAAAGAAAAGAGTCAATTGCACTTAATGTAAAATCAGGAAAAAAAAAATTGCAAATAATATCATAGTCGAATATTGTTGCTTAACTTCCTCCAATGAAGAAGAACCAAATGAAGGTGAGAAAAGAACATTTTGGACACATCGATGATCTGTTGTCATTTCTTACGTAATTAACCGCTTAAGCTAATCCTTTAATTTGCTTTTTGTTGTTTGTTCAGTCACTTTTGTATTGTGAGGATCCATCAATCGATCAAATATCGATTTATAAATTACTTATTCCGTCTCATAATTATTGTCCAGTTTGAGTTTTCATTTCTAGTTCAAATTGTACTAAAAGTAAAATCTCAAACTGGACAATAATTTTGGGACGGAGGGAATAAATATTAATGCCTTTTCCATGTGAGAGCAAAATCAACCACAATATTACGTACCAAATCTCATGAAAAACTGAAAATCGTGCTTCTCGTAATTAATGGCCTTTCTTCGCTTTGTCGTTTGTTTAATTTTCGGCAACCCTAACTTTTTCTCCTGTTTTTTCCCCCCTTATAATGATATTGTTTTACCTGAATTTTCACATCATTTTTTTTCTTTGCTAACATATATAGGTGATAATTGCGTTCTCGATACTGGCACTTGCATATCTTTAGAATTTTATGTAATCTATGCTTGTTGGCCAAATTTAGATGTATTGTGATTTAGCCGATACAAAGCTATATGATAGTACCCATTTTTTTGATTCCGCGGTTCTTCTTCTTCTTCTTTCTTTCTTCCTCTTTTTTTTTTTAAAAATTTCAATTTCATTTAGTAAAACAAGTGGAATTATGAACACTATGCAAAATATGTTGTACTCTGATACTTTTGGGAAGGAAAAAAAAATTCAGTAAATACCTTAATTAATCCATTAAATATCAATAAATAACCATTCGCAAAAGAAAATACTTGCTTCAGTTTGCTATCTTATCCACGAGAAAATCTAATATACACAACAGATGTACCCATATTCTAAGTGTAACTAACTAATAGAGATTAATATTTAGTTTTTTTTGGGTCTTATGTATTTCTCCCTCTCTCCCCGTAAAAATATTATATTTCTTACTTTTTGTATATAGAATGTACAGCTGATGTGGTACAACGGTTTTGCTGAAGATTTACTCCCTATCCACACCCAAATGATCATGGCCTAAACAGTTGTGATATGGAATAAAAAAAAAAAATATGTAATTAATGAAGTGACTGAAATGTGTAGTTTCTTTTGTGGTTGAGCCAAATTATTATATGCTTATAGCTTGATCGGAATTTTATAATTTCATTTGTTATACTAGCAAGCGTGTTTCATCTGCACACTTTTTTTCTCAAACAATATCATTAGCTTCCAACCCCCCTCCTTTTTCTTTAGCACAAATCGTTTCTTCATTGGTAAAAGGAATGATATATTTTGCCTGTTAGATTTGAGCGAGAATTGAACTGAATATGTATGGTCCATAAATAATTAGTTTAAACTCGCCTTACGATTCTTCCAGAGAAATTATAAAAAAAAAAAAAAAAAAAACAAATCTCATCAACGTCTCCAGTTTTCTGTAAAGGGTTTGAGTGAGGTTTGATTTGGGAGCAAATGCTAATACGCATTCAATCTTAAGTTGTTAACAGATGTGAGTGGGATGGGATGGAAAGTGAATGATTATGTCGACTGCTACATCCAATAAAACTTTGATATCCAGAAATTGCTTTTGTTGTGATGCTATTATTTTTGTGGTTCGTATAAATCAACCCGTGCTAAAATTCCAAAACCATTTTCTCGTACGGACAATCTTCCAAAAACTTCTTGCCCAAACAGAAAAAAGTGAATGTCAAATCTAAAATAATTCTTTGCAGGTGCTGCATTATTTTTATATTAGTGCATTCTAATCTGTATGTGCCCAATGACCACAAAAAAATCAACCATTGTTCAACCAACAACTTAAAAAATCAGCTTGGATTCACAATATCTGTAGGAATCCATTTTGGATAGAGTCCTTAATTAGTATTTCCTCTGTTCCAAAATTATTGTCCAGTTTAAGATTTTACTTTTAGTATAAATTGAATTAAAAATGAAACTCAAACTGGATAATAATTATGGGACGGAAGGAGTACATGAAAATGTTTTGTTTACCGTCCAACAGTGAGACTTTTGTATCAAGCCTGGAGTTTCTCATGTATAGAAAAAATAAATAAGAAATTGTTCAAAACATACGTTGGACATGTCATTTGTGTCTTCACATTAGACGTGGTATTGGAACGTTAGGTCATTATTTATATATATATATATATATATATATATATATACTTTATTAAAATTTCTTTTTTATTAAGGTGATATTTGTTGATTCCTTTAGTTTTGTGGATTGTTATGGACGAAAAATGTCCAAATAACACACCGGCATATAATCTTTTTCTTCTATTATCTGCTGTACATTTTCAAAACAATATGTACGCGGACGATAGACATATTGTGGGTATTGAGATTCTGCTAGCGAATGGATAAATTGAAAAAAAAAAAAAAGAAGAAAAAAGAAGATTTAATTATTGTTTTCTTCCCCCCACCTGTTTTGCTGTCTTCTGTCTTCACAAAATAAATAAATAAATAAATAAATAAACTACCTGACTTAAATCTGGATTAGTGGAACAATGAAATTCGGACACCCATACCACTACAACAAAAATGAGTAGTTTAGACACTTTTTTGTGTCTCAATAAGTGGTGTAATAGGACACATGTGATTCACATTGCGTGGGACACTACAAAATAGTGTCTCCTATAATCTAGTCACAATAAGTCATAAAATATTTGAAAGTGTATTATTAGATTGTCACTTATTAAGACACTTTAAAGTGACCCATTAAGTAGGGTAATAGTTCACAAGCAACCCACATAATACACTTATGACAGTGTTTCATAATATGCATACACTTTTTCATTTTTAATAAGACACTTTTTAACAAATGTCCTAATGCACATATAATGAGACACATTTTAAGAAAAGTGTCCCACCATAAAGGTATTAATAGCTCATTTTTATTGTAGTGTACCAAAAAAAAAAGTTAAATTAAATTAAATTTCAAATGATTTTTTTCTTTTTATTATAAACATGTTTATATGTAGGTGCTTGAAAGTAAATGAATTATTCGTAATATTTTGCTCCAGTTCCAACAAAAAAAAAAGAATTCCTTTTATTTATCGTGTATACTATTTAAATCGTAATTAACTAACTTTTTGCCCATAACACATTATGGAATTTTTAATGAAATAGACGCAAGAGACAAAGGCCTTTTCGTACCAATGAACCTGATCGATCTTGCCACCAATATATCCCTGGCTTTACCTTTACAAACATCAGTGTGCTGAACAGCAGAAACAACATATACAGTACATACATATTATTAGTTTTGAAAATTGTATATATATATATATACATATATATATATATAAAGTGGAAGAAGACAACATATATAGTATATAGTGGCTTTTTATAACCTATGTAATCAATCATTCGAAAAGGCTAAAAAAGAATTAATTTTAGTTTTTTCATCATATGTAGCGTTGAAATTTCTCACCTTATTAGGTTATTTTATTTCATTTTTGAGACCCTCACCATTTTAATTGGTTACCATGTACGAGGTTGTACAGCTCCAACCTCGTCTCAGTCAAGACGAATCTAATAGAAAATCATTAGTTATTGAAATGCGCACTGAACTCGAAGCACATACCCGGCCCTTCCACTTGAATGAATTCAACAAAGTTATGAACAGTGGACGTTTTGGACAATAACGAAATTAAAATGTCAGGATGATCCACATGAAAGGTGGCAGGATTGACCTAGATACTGTTACTGATTTCTTAATTATATCACTAAGGAAGATAGATTGCGAGTTGTGAGAAATATGTTATGGATTGATTATTAGTTATAATCTGTTGGTTTACTCCCTTCTTAAAAATAGGGTTCGGTTTTAATTTTTATTTTTATTACTCCCTCCGTCCCATAATTATTGTCCAGTTTTAATTTTTATTTTTAGTTCAAATTGTACTAAAAAATAAAATCTTAAACTAGACAATAATTTTGGGAGTACAAATTATAAGTGAAACATGACAATTTTTATGAAGCGAAAATGTTAACATGAAGAGGGTTTCTTATCTCTCTCTCTCTCTCTTTTTTTTCCCTCCCCAAATATATAAAAAGGGTTACAATCTCGATTAAGGGATCCCTTGATAGAGAGTATTATATTTGTAGGAGCATGTACGTCTAGGAGACATGGTGAATTTTCATCTTTTGATAAATCCTGCCAATTATGCACCATATAATATTGCTTTGTACAGTTTTTTTTTTAAAATTTTTTTTTTTAATGTTTTTGTGCTTTGATGGTGATTTGGCTCGTCACTCTGATGAAGAGCTAGCTAAATGGCAGTATAGCATATTACCATTTATTTTTAAGTACTACATTAAGCTATATCCTTGTTGCGAATTCTCTAATAAAATTTGTACATTTATACACACAGTTGCTAAAATCAATGTGATATACCATCTAACTCGAATACTGAGTCAGATAGGTCATTTTCAACATTGAATATCGTACACAAATAAATCTACATAAACGGAGCAATCGAACAATAAGAAAATATAAACTTCAAACTATTTTTCAACATTGTCCTTGTTGATGTCTGAGGCTGAGCCAGGTGACGAAAGCATCTAGGGTTTTCATGTCAGCCCTATAATGCTTCTGAGTGAATTCCAGGAGATTTAGCCAAGTAAAATCTGGGAACAGCCTGGGATTGTCAAAAGTGATGAGTTCCTTTGGAGGGCTCACGATTTTATCAGTTTTTGGACACAGAAAGAAAGCCAGAGACTTCCTTGGTTTTCTAGAGTTCACTGTTGCCCTGTGCAGACAACTTTTGTAGATTCCATTGGAAAGTGCCTGAGATTGAACAACTCCTCACAAAGTTTGTTAACCCCATCAATCAAAACCCAAGCCAAAAAAAGAATCAAATTCACATATTAATTCTCTTGCATGCATGGTTACGAATTCAGTTACGTACCTATGATTTGAATTCAATGCTTAAGCTTTTTTATAAATTTTTGAACCTGTAATATCAATACATTTTGTGGCTTTGTTCTTATGATATGATGAGAATCAAATACGCAATCTGATTTATGTTCTTTTCTTTTTTTAAAAAAAAAAAAGGTTGCCACTTGTTGAAGTTTTCTGCCCCGAATCCATATCGTTTAGAAAATAATTAAAATAGTGTGATTATAATAAGTATAAAGACTTACCTAAACTACTAAAACGATATCTATTGGAGTCTTTGTGTATGGTCTCCTATGAAGAAATTCTTGATATTATTACAAATAAGAACATAAAATTCATATGCATTATACATCTTTTTTTCTTTTTCGAGTTTGGGTTTGACTATAATTATGCAAGATATATTATTAATCTGTCTTCATCTCTTGGTGATGGTAATTATACCACATCCTTGCTTCTTTTTAAAATTTCACCGTGATGATAGAGGTCAAACTTTTGCTTCTTTTTTTTTTTTTTTCTCATGAAATACTAGTAGATTAAATATGTCTTACTATAAGTCTAGATATGTACGTCCCACATATAAAATCGAACAAATTATGAAGCTGGAAAGACCTTGAAATTAAGAGCTTACCATGAAGGTGTCACCAATATTGACAACAAAAGCATCTGGATTTGGTGGGACGGCGTGCCATTTCTCATTAACAAACACTTCAAGTCCCTGAACATCATCCTGATGAAGGATGGTTAAAGATGTCGGGTCACAATGAGGACCCGTTCCGAGAGTTAAATCGGGTTTCTGGCATGGAGGATAATAGTTCAATCTCATTATTGAGTCATTCCCTTCATAGAATTCCCGGAAATGTTTTGGTCCAACACCAAGGCTAGTCCCCAAAAGCTCCATAACTTTCAGGGATAGATTACTCATGGCTTCACAATAGTCTTGATACACCTTCCTAAAGAATAATAGAAGGGAAAAAAAAAAGAAAAAAAAAACCATGAATGAGTTCTTAGATGGAAAAATATTTATATAACTAAATAAATTGGTTTGTGGGAAAAAAAAAATTGTTGTACTCTCTCGATCTATCCCATGATAATAGTCTTGATTTTTGAACTATCTGACTATTATTTTGGAACGGAAGGAGTACAACATAAGGCATATATGTTGGGTGGAATTAGTACCCGAATTTGTTGAATTCTTCACCCAATGCATTCAAGAAGTAGCTTTGAACAATGTTGGAGGACTCGGCGCAATATCTGAAAGAGAGAGTTTCTTTCCATGGAAGTTTGGAAGAGAATCTGTTAGTGAAGCTACTAGCATAGCCACAATGTTCACCAACATTTCTCCCAATCCTTAGCTTTTCTTCCAATGACATTCCAAAGAAAAAATCCATGGTCTCATGGGCAAGTTTTAGGAGGCTGGAATCAATGCCATGATTAACCACAAGAAAGAAACCATGATCAAGACAAGCTTGTTTCACCAAATCAGTTGCCTTGGATACTGATTGCGGATCGCCGGATAGAAAGCTGTTTAAATCTATACAAGGAACATGAAGCAATGGTGGAGGATCAGGACAAGGCCTTTCATGATCAGGCCAGATGAACTCTTGAGGTATGTTGGTTTGGTTTTGATGAAAAGAAGCATCAAAGACTAGCCCCTTGTGATCATCTTTTGTTTCTTTTGTTGTTTGGGATGATGGTTTTTTATGTTTAGCCATGGACATTTGGCCCCTTTGATTCTTTGATATAAATTGGTCGATTGAGAGTTTATATAAATTTATGTGTAGGGTTTTTTGATGATTGATTGGTTTTCTAGAGTGGAAGATACACGGAGATTTCAATCACATGCAATAATGGAAGGTTAATTAGATAGAAAGAACGCTATATAGTGGTGAAGATTGAAGATGGTGGAAAAGAAGCTTTGCTTTTTTGGCAAATTGAGGAAGGAGATGAAGAGAAAAGCCAAGATCATCACATTGGAGTAGGGCAATAAACTAGACCTTGGAATCTTTGATTTTTTCTGTTGCGTCATTCCACTCTTTGAATGTAGTATATGTGTTTTTGTATGCATTGCATTTGACAATATTTTGACCCCTCCAAAAATTTATAAATTAAGTACATATATTATGTAATATAAATTTATACATATATCATAATTTAAGTACAAGAAAGGGATGTGAATGTGTCAACTAAAATGCTTCAAATTAAACACTCCAAAAATTTAATGTGTATATTTATCTACTCGCTAAAGAACAAGATACGCTTTCTGAGATCGAATAGGTCCATCTAGTAAATTGTTTGTCCTTTTTTTAAATAGATTTTCAATTTGAGTTGTTAATAAATAATTGATTATTTTTATCAACGAAAGGGATTTACTCGAATCGAATAAGACAGTATGCTTACAAGTATGATAACAAGTGGTCTAAAGTTTTAAAAATAAGAATCGGAAGTGGAAAACAAGTTGCAGGAGAAAAGCTTGTTTTTGAACTGTTGTTTCCAAAAAGTTCATTTGCTTGCCAAATACGGGTTTTTCGAAGCCTATCAGTAGACAAGCCAAGAATCACGACAATAAATCCGAATGGCAATTGTATTATAAAAATTCAAAATACCAGAGAATTTCATCGTATTCCACGTTTGCATGAGCGATATTAAATAAATTATAATAGTACACAGCAACAAAAATTGCCACTGGAAAAGTTGAAAAAAAATTGACCAAACTTTTTGCTGTTTCAAACCCGAAAGAAAACCAATGATTATGCGAGCTTGTGATTGTGCGCATTTACAGACAAGATAAGAGAAAACTAAGCAGTTCAGATTCCTACCTGGAGATGTTTATAAAACTTTTCAAGTGTTGGAAATTTTGGCCTTTACTTTCGAACCCATTCACAATTTGTTTGGTCAAGAAATCTTAACTGAGTATTCCATGTTCTGGAAAAAACAAACAAAAAAAAAAAAAAGAACAAAACACTTTTCAAGTGGTGGAGAACAATTTTGGGACTAGAAAGAAACTGGGAAGCAGAGCCTAATCTAATCTGCTTCACATCTTTTGTTTAGCTCCATAATATCGGGTCGAATCTTTGATGACATTTTCACTTCTAATTAGTTAGTAATACTCTCTATTTTATAATCATTATCATCCATATGCAAACAGATACTCTCTCCATCCCATAATTATTGTCCTGTTTGAATTTTCATTTTTAGTTTAAATTATACTAGAAGTGAGATCTCAAACTGGACAATAATTTTGAGACAGAGGGAGTATGTCGATTTTTTAAAACGAGAATTAGCAACTTAGCACCCCAACAAAAAAAAATCCAAATTAATAGCATATAAATTTGATCACGGCTGAAATATTTAATCCGTTTGTTCAAAAATTATAACAGAAATCAAAATACAGTGGCCGTAAGAGAAATCAGAAAAAGTAGAGCCATAGGCAATGGTGGACTGCAAAAGGCTGTTTCTTGCAATATGGATCGGGCAAATTGGAGTACGGATTATGACACAATCACATCAAAATCCAAACGAAAGAAGATTGAAAGGCACCCCTTTTAAATATCAAAAACCTCAACCCCCATTCACAAATCCCAATACCCAACCCCCAAAATGGTCATTTCCAAATGACTTTCACCTCAACATGTTCTCTCAGGCAACAGTTTAAAAGGAAGGCAAATGAGTTATCAAACTGATGACTGATCATTATCATGTGTTTTATCTGTTTCGGTTATATGTCGTGCTCCTTTTGGCTCTGTCAGCACTCAAAAGGGTAGATTAGATCTCTTTGGCTCACCATTTTTCAGTTCCACTGAAAACCCAATATGCAACACACAAAAAAGAAAGAACGAGAAAGAGCTGCATTATTATCATCGGCAGTAAAGAAGATAGAGATTGTTGAATGTCGATTATCTGCACACAAAGGAAGTGGGGAAAAACATGTTTTAGCAACTAAGGTCCATCACTGGCCCATCATCTATCAGCAACAGAAAAGAAGACACACCAAAAGAGGAAAGACACATGGTTCTGAGTTTTGTCCTGAATCCCGATCTAATAAACGAACTAAAAATCTCACATATTTCCTTAAATTCTCCTTCTTTTTTTTTTTTGGGGGGGGGGGGGTGGTGAAGAAGGTAAGAGGGAAATGTTTTACAAGTTACACCTGATTATAAAGAAACTGAATTCAAGTTAACTCTACAGAGTATAAATTTCTCAAAAGAATACTAGAAAGTAAAGACCTAAAAGTCACGAGGATTACATTTACCCTGATTGTACATGACTCTGGAAGCAGATACAGAAGACAAGTTACGGGTGAATGGTGCACCCTAAATTTTACCCATTTCATGGGAGTGACTATAACGAATCAATTTGAATCACAGAAGAATAAACGATGCGGCAAATTGGCAATTAGAGCATGCCGATGTGTGAATGGTCCTCCTTTGTACGGACTATCAAGCTTTCATGAAGAGTCCTTTTGCACTGTGGAGGGAAAAAAATCATGTCTTGACCTCATGCAACGTTCTTCACTCACTCAATTTGCAATGCCGAACATAGGGATGATCATACTTGATATACTTGGTCCAGTATGCGCGGTACTTTGTCATGGCCAACTCAAGCCATGGTTTCATGTTGCCATTGTAGTGTATTACAGCTGCGTGCTCAATTTCAGAGCGATCAATACTTGGATTGTAACCAAGGCCAAGCACATGCCAAGACTTTTCAAGGGCATGTGTCAACCCATAGAATGTGATCAGCCCAGGAGGTAAAGTTCCCAGCTTCCAAAGAAGCCTATCTTCATTCTGGCAGAAAATGACCACAAAAAAAAAAAAAAACCATTAGTGAGAAGAGTTCCATCCTAAATTTGCTGCAGAATAAACAAAATTTCCTATACGAAACAGACATGAAGTTCCAATTTATCTAACATACATGTCGTTCATCTTAGCTTCTATAAGCCAGAACCAATACCTAGGATCTGAAGCAAACATGAACCAAACATCTACATGCAAAGACACTCTACTCGTAACAGGGGCGCCACAGATGAAAAAACTCATAAACTTATGAAGCAAAACCATAACTCATATAGCAAGATAAAAAAAATTTACTATAGCAGAGGGGTGACAGAAGCAATTAGCAAAGAAGTAACATAACTCTATTTCAAAGGACAAAATATCCATATCAAAACGTTCACACAAAAAAATTACACTTAAGAGAATTTGCGCAAGGTACAAACATACTGTACCAGCCCAGAAGCAAGGTGAAACAGCAAAAATAAAACTGTAATCTTATGTGTAAAATGCTTTCAAACGCTTACCAAATTCTGCCATCTGTGGTATATGCCAGTGATATCCCTCTTTTTCCACTCCTTAAGGTCAAACATGTTCATCCCATAGGCCCAACCACAAGCATTGGGGTCAAAATTCCGAGCAATATGAGGATTAGAAAAGTTGAGATACTTGTCAAAGCGATGGAAACTTTCACCACAAGTTTCAACGGCACCATTAACTTTTCCATGCAGATCGACAGCCCATAGTCCAGTCAGGTCTTTTTGGACAACTATATCATCATCGAGAAACAGAATTTTATCCAACTTCGGATACACCTGTGGAAGATAAAACCTCAGATGGTTGAGCATTGAAAGGTACTTGGGATTCCTATACTTCAGGTTAGAAGAACCAGCAGAAAGTGTCGTGGGATGAGCTGCCTGGAAGTAGTACTCTTTCATGGCAGCAGATTCAAGCTGCCTTAGAACTGGACAATACGACGAGTTTAACCACTTAAATTCATCAACATTTTCAACATGAATCGTAGCTTTTCCAGGAGGATTCAGCAGGAACCACATGTTCATTGCTCCAAAATTTAATTTGTCAGTCACCAGATGGAAAACGTGCTTCTCAGGTTCCTGAAATGAATATATAACCACATTAGAAATCACACCCCTGAAATAAACTTGTCTGCACGCACATCTGCATAAATGACTCGACTAAGGTAATTCCACTGTTATCAACAAATACAACTTCCACATACTTCACTTAATTAAAACACAAAACTTTGACTCATGCACAGATCCTTAGTTATTCATCTTTCCGCATGGATCTAGTGCCATTTCGAGCTGTATATAAGAGTGCTTAATAAAATAGGAATAGTACAAAAGACAAACGAGAAATTGGAGGGATGATATTAGTAGCGTTACACCTGCCACTCTAGATATTAAAGAAAATCAAGACAATATTCCGCACCTTAGCATTCTTTATGGTTGAGTTGACAACAACAGAGGCAGCAAGAACGTTGTCAGAAAAGAGGGCATAGTGATATAGGTTTGGATTTTCCAAATTCTCCATTCTGGGGAAGCTTCTTTTTTCTGGTTCAAGAAGATAATAATCAATTGTTAACCGCAATGACAAACAGTGGATTCCATTTGGAATTGTCTTGGCAGCCAACTGACTGAGAAATGTGCTCTGCTTCTTCAAACTTCGCACTTGCTCATCAGCAGATTGTAGCATTGCTCTGAGCTTCCCAGTGACCAGCTTGCAGTCATACAGTTGTTCTCTAGCTTTCGCAAGCACTTGGCCCATAGCTTTAATTTTTTCACCCGCACTGACTCAAATAACACCAAAACAAGACAATTATCACAAAAGCATCAGATAAAGTGAGGAGCTGTCCCAAAAACTAGGCAAAAAATTCTGACTACCTGCGACTAAGATCAGAATCAGAAGCAGCTTCTCCTAATGCATGCTGACTTTCTTTCAGTCTATTTTGAAGTTCACGGGCCAAGTCAAGCTTATTCTTCATTGTTGCAAGACTTATATACACCCTAGCCATGATCATTTGATCACGGATCAATCGAACAGTTGAATCAGTATTCTCCATATCATTCTCTTTCCTCCATATACTGTATTTCCCAAGAACTGCAGAATCAACCGACTTAGAACGTTCAATAGCTGCATTTTCAAGCTTCAAAGTTACTTCTTCATCTTGTTTTACTAAATCAGCAGCACGTTTTTCACGCCTTTTCTCCCTCAATTGCTGCCAAAGTGATTGAAAAAAGATTTCAAAACAAATAATACAGAATGTAACAGGATAAAGTAAAGGGCTCATTTTTGCATTCAAAAAAGCGTAAAGTTCAACGAAAGTCTTTTTGCTCAATCAAACATCAATAGATGGTTCCACATAATAAATAAATAAAACTCATTCTAACAGGATATCAGTAAGGGCACAGCATGCAAGACTTCTTTTATACTCACCCTTCTAGCTGCTTTAGCAGGTGTATCAGAGGAATGGGATTGGACATCTGCAAAAGCATTCCACAAGACAGAAGTTAGTGCAATAAGAAACATCAGAAAAGAACAAAGAGTTTCGAGAGAAATTAAATCACCTGAAGAAATATCCACTCTAATCCTAGGTGCTTCTTGTTTAATAATTGCACCTGATTTATCAGCCTGTGTGACACAATCAGATATGTGAAAACAAATGAAACGAAAATGAGCACCTTGATTTGCATAATTCAAGAAACTAAAAAAGCATTAAATTGTAGATACAACCAAGTGAGATAAACAAACATCTAACCCTGACCTCATGAGATGAAGCAGCATTCTCATCCTGGAGTTCTTGTCCAACAAATTTCCAAGATGCAGAAAGGTTATTTTTCCTAAAAGAATCAAGACTTAGTGGCCCTAAATCATCAGTGTTGGCCTTAATAACTTCTAGCACCTGCAAAATGAGAATGCTAACAACATCAGAAAATTATAGGAAACAACAAAAAGTAGTAAATAATAACTTCTACATGAAGATATTATAATGAAATAACTATTTACCTCTTTAGTGAGTAAAGATTTTACATTTTGCAATGCCAGCCTCTCTCTCCAGTCAAGATCCTTCACAGGGAAAAAACAAATATTAATAATATAAAAGCATATCAAAAGTAAAGTAACAAGAACAATAGAAAGAAACCTGATTCTGGACAATTGCGGAGAGTTTGTTTTCATCTGCAGAAGAATAGAGTAGTTATACGTAAGCGAGAGAATACAAGACACCAAAAATAATGAGTATGCCCATGATTCTCAACCAGCAATTTCATTTATGGGAACGTGCTGCCTTTCTTGATGAACAGAAATAATTCGAAGCCACTGCCAAGCAAAAGCAGGTTATGAATACTTCTGGAAGTTCTATAAAATAGCATGGAGACTGTGACACCTTATCATCATTCCACGCACAGACTTTTTGCAGAATCATCTGATACATAAATAATCACCAAAATTTTACTCATGTTCTCCTCACACGAAACTACTATACAGTGTAATGCAACAAATCATCTGGAAAGTCCCAAAGCTCATTTAGCAGTGAAGTCACACTCACAATTAGTCTGGCTTCAAGAACTGCAATTACCAAAGAAACTACCAAATTTAACTCTTTTGGTTATCTCCAGAGGCCATGACTTATAAGTGCATTGATTAATTTAATGACCATGGTGTCCTGCTCGTCTAGCATTGCGGACAGGCGTCATTATAGCTACTATTAATTTTAACCTTAACAGCCACTTCAATAAACTCCTTGAAGCTTACCTGAATATATTTCACTAGATTCACCTTCCTATTTGTATTATTCGTCATTTATCTAATGCTCTTATATTTTTGAGTTCCTATTGTCAAGCTTAACCTGATTAACCAGCAAATAATTCCTCGTCGAAATGCACTCTCCTCAATCCATATAGGAAAACTCCAACGGATCCAATATATATGCTAATACTTCCAAAGCCAAGCGCCTTCTAAAGTTTCCACTATAATTACAATTCCTTCATAGCTAGCAACTCATAGAAGCAAAGTATAATTTCTCGCTGATATCCATTGAATCAACAGAATCAATCAATTAAAATCCGATTAAATTAAATAACAAGATCTGCAAACACCTAATAGAACTCCTTCCAATGCTATTAGTATCTCCTACATTACAACTTACAATATTGAAATTATAATACTCTAATTAGATAAAAAACCGAAAAGTGCGGTGGATAAGACACTGACCGGTTACCGTGGTGATGTAGATTCCGCGGCCGACGAAGAAGAGAAACGGCGCAACAACCGAGCAGAAAATAAGAACCACCACGAGAGGGAATCGAGATCCATATCCGACGACTCTGTAGTTCTTCCCGGACAATCCTGCTTTCTTACTGATCCCCATTCTTTCTTTCTTTCTTCCAATCACCACCAGAAAAAAACACAAAATCTTCAAACCACAATCATAACCTAAATCTGACAAAAACTACTAACACCAATTGCTAACTTGAAGCATCACACATTCACACTCGCAAAACGCGTATACAGCACTTCACTAAAGATTTCAAAATCAAATAAGGGAAAGCTTTAATGGAGAAGAAGTTCAATTGGTAGTTGAATTTGGGGGAAAAAGAATAAAAAGGAAAAAAAATTGAGGAAATATATCAACTAAAATTACGCGGGTGGATAGGTAGGAATTTTGCAGAGATTAGAGAGGAGATGATTACGTAAGGGGGAAAATGCCGATCTCATCAGATTCGGACTCTATTAATTGTCACTAATAATTACTCCAATTTTTTCAAAAATTGCTCTATTGTGAATTAATTACTTCCAGATTTGGCTATTTTTTGCAACGACGTCGCTTCAACAGCCGACAACATTCACAGTCTACTCATTTGTTTATTTGCTCGCCCACAATACACGGGATTTTTAATTATTATTATTACTCTAATTAACGGAATTTTAGGCTATTTAACCTATGGTGAATAGTGTAATAAACTAATCATTACTACTTGTACTTTGCACCTTACTGTGTGTTATCTTGGGTGAATTTAGTAGCGTTATATTCACTTTACGTAGTCAATTTCAAAATACCAGGGTCAATTTGTCTCATGAATTTACTAGTAGTACCTTTCATTTTACGTAGTCAATTTCCGCGAAAGCTTGCTTAATCACTGCAATCCCTCCGATATCTTAATCAAATTATGCATGCCCCCTCTCTCTTTTGTTGGAATTACTACCATTCCATCATTGTCGATATACTCGTCTTAAAAAATTACTACCTCTGGCTCAAAATAATTGTCTAATTTAGATTACTCCCTCTATTTTAAAATTATTGTCTAATTTATATTTTCGCTTTTAATACAATTTAAATTAAAAATGAAAATTCAGACTATATAACTTGTTTAAAATGAGTCTATAATAAATAGTGTCATCCAAAACTTAGAAGCCAATGTTGCAGTGTTGATGATTGATTGGCGACATACCAACTCCACCATAAACCAATCTTTGCTTCTTAATTTTACAACCTTTTCCAAACTCGAAATAACAAAAGCAAAAAAAGTTTCAAAAAAAAAAAAGAAGAAAGAAGCCAAAAGACAGTTTCAACATTTCATGGTGTTAATGCATCATCATCACCAAGGCAACGATTAGAAACACAGGAAAACCCATCAAATAGTCTTGTGGACAACTTCTTTGGCACATTTAAGAAACTTAAAAGGAAAGTATCTTCCTTTCATGGCCCAAAATAAGCATATGTTGCCCCCTACTTCTCTCGCACATATACTATATCTAATAGTGAAAATCTTACATATCCTTCGTTACAAAGAGTTCTCTTTGGAAATTAGCTCGCCAAATGAACTACTGCAGAAGTATCGCCACGTCCAAATAATCTCCTATCTGCACAAAAGGGAGATAAATGAGTTGACTAATGTAAGAGACGCAGGAAGAAGAACAAGCAGAGCAACTTACCCGAAAGTTAAGTTCACCCAAAGCCATACTGCCATTGTCCGGTCTCCTGATGTTTGGGTTTGAAAAGGTCTTGCCAACCTGATAGGGAAATAGATTATAATCCAGTATCAGAACACAGACATATTTTAGCAGATACATCATTAACAAGCCGAGAAACTTATAGGTTGCGCAACAAACAATTCAATAGGTAGAAATAGTCACAGATTTTTCCAGCTAACTTTGGGCTTTCACACTGAAGCAATAATACTTAACATATTTACACCTAAAGAGTTTCAGAGAAAAACGAAAAGCTAAAAAAGTAAGGTCGGTCTTCTTCCAAAAGACTTGAGAAAACATAATTATTCTTGATGATGCTTAGTAAAAAAGAGTTCTAAAGATATGCACCTAATTATTGTAATAGGTAATAATTGAGATAACTACAACATGAGCTTCAGTGAACAACTCTTTAAGTTTTCAGCAATGGACAATTTCAACTTGATACAGACATGATCAACCAAAGAACAAATACAATGCACAGCTGCAAAAGACCAGCTAAGGATGAATGTTCAGAACATTAAAGTACAAGAACAAACTTGTCAATTTGTAATCCACTGAGATATGAAGAATAAAGGAAAACAAGATGAAAGACCTCTCTAACCACCATGCGACCACGTGAATCAGGATACACAAACGCAAATGACAGAACTGCATCTCTTCTTCTTGCCTCAGGAGCTACCTCTTTTACCTGGAAAACAACCCTAATCAACAAAAGGCCACCAGAAAAAAGCGTATTTCTCCCTAGTTATTTAAAAATGATTTGAAGAATAAACAGTTACTAGGTAGCAAGTCATAATCTCCAGCCTAACAATCACTTTAATCAATCAACAAAAGCTTCCAAAAGCAGATGAACTGCTCTTGAGTAATAACATGGTAGGGATTTTAAGTATTTTTCATACCAGGTCAGTTAATTCCCGCAAAGTTGCATCCATCCATGTGTATATTTGCACTTCATCCTTCGGTTCCTTCCCTCTTACAGCAAACTCTGATGAGTTGTGATGCTCTCCAACCTGTATAAGGGAAGCTAAAGGTTGGAAGTCCAGTGGACATATAAATAAACATGGCGTGACCCTTCTCTGACCCCTCAAACATACATTAGGTGTTTTAAATCTCAAAATTCTCGACCTAACCCTCCCCCGCCGCCCCCACCCCCCGAGTTGCCCCTCTACTAATAACCAAACAATGAGGAACGTGAAGTAAAAGCTAGTCATCAATCTGCACAAGTGCCTTTGCCCCAGCATAGACAACTACGTATATTCCACATCTAAAGGAGTCCCACAGGATGTTGCACCAATGATACTTTTCCAAATAAGCATATCTTGACAGTTTCAGGGTAAAACATGGTTATTTAAAGTTGCAAGAACTTCTATTTGATGCAATTAGTTGATATCAATCCCAGGTGAGCATCATGTTCATCCTCTCTCTATTCTTTTGGCCTCAAGACAGGTGGAAAAACCATGTCTTGTAAAATTTCCAGAATAATGGGGGAGCACAATGATAATAACAGTGATATTAAAAAGGAAACATATGGTTCACATTCTCTGTAACATACCAAACTAATATTGATGTAGGACAATCAACATGGAAAACAATTCAAAGCTCAATTTTTATTTTTATAAAGACGTCAAAGTTCAAATGGTATTCACAACTTCTGCAATTAAAATTACTCAACTTCTCTTCTTCTTGCTAGATTGAATAAAACCATAGAGCTGCTGCTCATAGATTTGAGCTAATTTAAAAATAATCTAAGGCAGGACTTAAGTAGTGTCAGTGATTTTCCCTGATCATTGCTTAATTCAAGAAATGTCTTCGTTATCAACAAGAATACAACTGAGACTAGAAAACAGATGTACACCCTCCATTAAACATAAAGAGGAAATAACAACGATGTTGTTTTTCAAAAGAAACATACCTTAGTAAATACACGAAGCAGCAACGGACAAATCTGGGCATTAAAAAAAAAATTAAAAATTAAAAATTATGAACCCGAATAATCGGATTTAAGCCAAAAATATAAAGAAAAAGAAAGAAGCAAAATCAAGAAAGAACAAAGGGAAAACTGAAAGGCAACGAGCAGGCACTTGTCAACATTCACCGTAAGCACAGCAAAAATCTATCTTGTATGTTGTGCTTGGCAGGCACCAAGCAACAACTTACTGACTCAAACAATCCATGCTTTCCGCAATTTTTCCATAGTTGCATACATTTACCTTCAACAAATCCAAGCCACAAAAATAATGTTCTGTTCTTCGCAGTTTTGCATTGTTAATGACATTCTAGGCAGAGAAAAAACTCCTCAAACTACTGTCCGCACTAATATAGTGTTGTACGTTGTAATAATCCTTACAGACAGAAAAGAGGAGACTTCATGTACACTCGAATCCGTTGAATAGACCTATTCCAAACAACCAAAAGCTAAGCAAGCAAAAACCCTAATAGACTCCCAATTTCAACAAACACAAAAAAACACCTTCCACCTTTACTGGATATCCGTGATTTAGTGTAGCAAACTATCCTCTCACAAACATTGACATAATTAGAAACGAAAACCAATGCAATTTATTCATGAACTCCATGTAAAAAAGCAAGAAAAAGAATGGAAGTTTTTTTTATTATAATAAGACATAAGCATATGTAGAGACTACATGGTGGAAGAGAGAGAAATCGAACCTTCTCGCGATCGACGGGTTCGAAGCGTGGGCCGGACTTAGTAGGCGGCGGCCCTGGAAGGGGGCCCCTTGACGGCGGAAACGGCCTTCCTCCTCCTCCACCACCTCCTCTCCTCTGAACGTCAGCCATTGTCAGATTCTCGCTCCGGACTTTCGATTCTGGTCTGCGTTTATTGAAGGAAGACTACTATAGGGGCTAGACTTGTAGAATCGAAATTATTTATTAGATCGCTCGGAAGCCCATTGATAAAGTTCAATCTGATCCAAATACAAATCATATTTATTCTGCAGTTGGCCCATACAAGTGTTCTTTTTACAAGAATTTTTTTATCTTTATTTTATTTTATTTTATACTTTTTCCTCCGCACTTTCTTTGAACAGTAATGTACGTAAGTTTGAACAATTAAACTGAAGATAGAGCCACTAAGTTGAAACTGGATTACAAGTTTTAACCCGAAAAAGAAAAAAGTAAAAAAAAAAAAAAAAACCGCATTACGAGATAGTGACAAAGATAACAATAAAAAAAAAATCAAAGTGAATAATCATAAAAATTAATCACATAAATACTAAATCTACTCTCTACTGGTTGGTAGTATTTGATTTTGATACATAAAAACCTCTTCAACTTGTCCTGGATGCAATTCAAGGTCCACAAAAATGTTGTAGTAGTATTCATTTTCTAGAATAAGAGTCGATTATATTTAATTATAAGTATAATAACTGTATAAATATTGTTTTGTGTTGTACCCTTGAAAACACAGTGTCATTCATCTCTTCAGTTTTCCACGCTCTGTTGTCTAGTCAAACTTCTTCGATGAACAAATATTGAGAGTTACATATTCTCTCCGTCCCAAAATTATTGTCCAATTTAGATTTTTTGTTTTAGTTAAAATTATACTAAAAATAAATTATCAAACTGGACAATCACTTTGAGATAGAGGGAGTAATTTTTTTTCCGTCTCAAAATATATGAAAAAAAAACAAACACAAAGTATAACAATATAAAATCGTGAGAGAATATAATTAAAAATATCTTTTCGCGTTCTAAGTAATTACTTATTTCTTGACATTACTACATCAATATTAAAGATTTTAAACTTAATTCTTGACATAACTATATCACTATTAGAGATCGATCTCATTCTTTCATGTACATCACTTCTCATGTTACTCGCGTTTGCGTATTTTAATCGTAAAATGTACAAGAAACTATAATCGAACCTACATACATTAGAGACTGTGTACTTGTGCTCTATAAATTTTGCGCACTTGTAATCATAAATTAAAGGAACTAATTAAAGACATATATCTGAAATCTAATCTTCTATGTTATTTCGTATTCATGATCATGAATTTATAGGGACGTAGCTAGGATCTGGCACCTATGATACACTCTATGAACAACCGCTTCCACATGAAATTTCAGTACTTGCCAGAAAAGAAAAAAAAAAAAAAAAAGCTAAAGATTGGAAATGCTTTTTCCATCTTAGGTAATTCTGGAGTTACAATTTTTGTTGCAGATCCTAAATTAAGTCTGGGCAAAACATAACTTCTCTTCTCTGTATGGCCAAAAACATCCTCCTCTTCTATATATCAGGGCATTTACATCCCAAAAAAAAATAAATAAATAAATAAAAATGGTCCCCTGCACCCCCACCATATGAGCTGTGTTATAGCTAAGTACCATAAATATGGTGGCCATTCATCTGGTAATAATAATATGGTACTTTTTTTGAGAAGAGATTTGAGGGGGCAGGACTTGGTACTACATTAATTGCTTGATATATAGACAACTCTCTCTTAGATTATGACAAAATTTCATACTTCATGATGAAAGATTGAAAGTTACATCACATTCAAAATCTTCTTAGACACTCGAAATTACATCATATATAAGAGCTAAGCAAATTTAGATTTTAATGTTGTCGTTTTTGGTCACTTATTGTACATGATGCGTGCTACTACTTCCATTCCAAAATAAGTATCGTCTTACACTTTATACATAGTTTAAAAAACTCTTAAATAAGATAATAAAATTACTTGAATATTCTCAACCAACCCTATTATAAAATTGTCCACCAATAGCATCAATTCTTTTGAGTGTAATTTTGAAAACTTTTGACAAAAAATGCATTGAAATGTGATAACGACACTTATTTTGAAATTTCTCCATTTTGCTAAAACGACACTTATTTTGGAATAGAGTAAGTACACTATATACTTGAGCAAAGAGTTGTTGGACAAATATAGTGAAGTTTGATATACATTTTTTAAAGACATTTTAAGAGGTTTATATCTCACCCGTTTTTGGTTAATGTGTAACACGACAGTTTTGGTCTGATAATTAATGTCCTACAAATGGCTTAACCAGGATTAGTTACTAATCTCTGTTGTACTAATTTACTTCTAATGGCTTCTTCAAGATCCTAATTTGATTCTTCAAAGGTGGTGGTCTTTTGATTTTGAGCTTCCAATCTCAAATAGGATAGCAATAGATAGCAAAGATGAGACTAAAGTTATGAGTTAATTGCAAATGACCCCCTTGGTGTATCTTCATCGTGCAAGATATGCCATAAAAGATTAGAGTACTAATGATAGAGACCGATAGACAATGAGAGATCATAATGATTTTAGCACAATGATTGATGTGTAATCAATTATTGTTATTGTTATTGGAAAAATGTCTTTAATTAAAAATATTGTTATTGTCATCACATGCGCTAATGAGAAATAAATACTTTTATCATATCACTATATTAAAATCATTCTAATCGCAATAATGCATCTATCACTTTTCTAATCGTTGGAAGTAATGCATTGTTTCAATAAGAAATGTCAAAAGTTGTGTTATAATTGTTCACTTGGGGAAAAATTGCAAAAGAAAGATACTTACGGGTTTTTTATATTTTCATTTTGTAGCTAGCTAGCTCTTGGTGTAATTTCTTTTCTTTTTTTTTTTGGGGAATAACTCTTGGGATAATTTCTTAACACAAAATCAAATGGATGATTATATTATTTATTCTTTTAAAATTATTTTCATGTTTCTTGTACTAAAATAATACAATAATTTTAACACTCAGTTGTTAGAATTTATCTTGTAAAAGCGATAAAAATTATCAGAGGAGTTCAATAATAAAATTATGTATTTAACTGGACAAGTATTTCATAACCGAAAGAACAGTAACATGCAATAATTAATTCGTATAAAGGAATGTGACATAATTGGAATACAGTACAGGAGAGGTTAATTTCCAATTGAGCTGTGGAGTATATGAAGTGAATCAACTGCCCGCTTTTGCATTATTTCATGTGTGGAAACTGTATATCTATATGGCTAGGATGAGGAGGAGAGGTAGAGAAAATTTATAGAATGGTCCCCATGTTTCACAAGAGGTGCAAAATAAGGGCATCCCGGATGTTGAAATGTGAAAAGGTCCACTAAATTGATAAGGAAAGGGTTTGGTAGAAAATAGGAAAAAGGGATATAAAAGCCCCACTTAGATCGATTAAATACCTTCTCAAAATGGAATACTCTAACCACCTCCCCTCCATATTTAGCTAGCCCGCCCTTTTTCTTTTTTCCCTTAGGTCCCTTTACTCCCGCAAGGAGCACGGATTCATTCAAGAGTTGCAAGACGCCTTCAATTCAATGTTGTTATTCGTTGTAGGAGAGACCACTAGTATATGTACTTAAAATTTACCCCCATAGTACATCCTACTCATGATGATGATTGGCTAGTAATAACATCGTGTTTTCACATCTGCGGATAAAATATTTAAAAAAATTGGTATCATATATATTATAACATATACGCGGGTAATTTTTCGGATGAGACCACGTCATTCATATTAATTTTGTGAGGAGTCACAAAATGTTGCTCTTGAACATCGACCAATTGAAACATGAGAGATGAAATTATTGACAGCAACCAAACATTTCATTCATAATACCATGTCTAAGCTTAAAATTTGCATGATGTTGATAATTATAAAAAACAAGTACTACGTAATAAGTGAAACCGAGGATTATATTTGTTGTCAAACAAAAAGAAGGATCAAAGTATGAAGATACAATTGTACAAATTCACTACATATACTAAAAATGACAACTATTCCTTTTGCCGAAAGCCTTTTCCATTTTAACCTTCACCTTTTCCTATGTGCACCCTTAGTAGTAAGGTTTCGAAGGTAAGAAAAGTTTTGTTTTGGGGGATCATATGATAGGTGAAAAGAGGTACTCATTCGTATAGCCAATATGTATATAAAAAAAAAAATGACCAATTTTTTAAGGACTGCATGCATGCAATTGCATATATATGTGCCTTCTGTATGTACTTGATAAATTCTTACTGTTGAGATTATTACATATTTGTAGTCTGTGGACATGAATTTAATTACTGACCTTACAAGTAGTACACCTGTATGATATTTATCCCTCAATTGAAAAAGACAGGTACACTGATTGAAACTTATCTTTACCATTTGAGATGAAAAATTGATCCCTCCCAAGTGTTCTATAGTCAAACTTTACGATATCCATAACAGTAAAAATGAATTGACTTGTACCAAAAACACACACACACACACACACTCGGACACACTAAGTAAAAATGAAATGACTTGTATTAAATATCAGTTCCAATTATTTGTATTACAAAATGTTACAGAATTATAGTCTGAAAACGTCTGTATTTCGCAAAATGGTACAACGAAAATGAAAGTACTCGTGTATTTCGCAATTTGTATACTAACACAATATGATAAGTTATGATTTAAGTTCATCCCATACGAATAAATTCAATATTTTAGTACAAATTATATGATCGCTTAATCACATCAGTTTAGATTTGGTTGAACCTAAAATGAGAGAACAGATGGAATAATAACCATAACACTCGATTCGGGAATTGATTGGTTTTGGAACGTTGGGAACAAATGGTCGTTTCATTGGAGCACTCGTTCCTCATCAGACAGTCGGAATATAAAATTCTATTCGTAATATATGAGCCAATTAACTGCTACCCAAGGAAAAAGGAAAAGTTCGTCTACAGCCAAATCGTCGATATGACCATATTTTTCATTAATTTGCTTGATCGTTTCAAAATCTATTAGTCATTTTGTGGGAGTTTTTACAAGTTATATTACTCCCCATCAAATACAAATCTCATATGCTGTTTCAAAATTATTATTCAGTTTGATTTTCAGTTTAATACTACCATTTGTACTAAAAGTGAAATTTCAAATTGAAAAATAATTTCGGGATGAAAATAGAACAATTCTTAACAAACAAATCAAAATATATATATATATATATATATATTGTAATACGTACGAGGAACAATGACATAAAAGTGCTGTTGGAGGCTTAGAACCAGCTGATTAAGGCACTCTATACCGGCTGGTAACCTGTCTAAATCATGTTACAATCAATCCCAGATTCAAAGTACTACTATCGTTTAATCTTAGGGTAACCGGATGTATATAATGAGTTCCGACATTAATGTCCATAGATATTCATTGAACCATCTAACAAAATGTGTACTTATTACATAATTAAGTACTGGTACCACTTATTAAGTAAGAGCTAAAAGAAGAATAATCCAAATTTTTGGCCTGTTTCATGCTTAGGATAAAACTTACTTTATTCAACTAAAAGCTCAATGGATCCACTCATTAATTATGCTAACCCACATAATTGATAAATCTACAAGAAATATCAAATGAAGAACAAAACCAAGACCATTAGCTTAGATTTAACTCTAGACTTTCATTTTGTGACGGATAAATAATCGCTCACATTTCTAACAGCGCGTGACTTAAATTTATAGATGATTCATAATAAATAATTAGTAGATACACAAACACAAAAGAAAAGAAGGGGGGAGTGTGACTGTGAATAGTCATTTCAGAGATAAAAAGGAGAGGAGGAAACAAGGAAAGTGGCATTTCGATGTAAAATAGCACTGTCTAGTTTTAGTGTACTGTACTGTGTCTATGAACACACATACATGATGTGGCCTTTGGTTTGACAAGAGGGAGATAATTAGAGACTGGGACCCACTTTTAGGTGGTGAGCAGGGCCCACGTAACGTCCACGTCACTCTCTTCCGGCCATCCTGCCGTCCGTTTATGCTGGATGTATACAACGCCGTTAAGGTCTTGGCTACGTCAGTACCATTTCATTTTTGCAGTACTATAAGTCTATTACTATTCTTTTCCCACTTTTTTTTTTTTTTTTTTATAATGGTAATTATGGATTGATGTCAAATGATGTGGTTATCTCTGTTCTCTGCAATTGTTATAAAAGAGATCAGCTGGAAGTTTAAAAGAGAAGGAAAAAACAAAAACAAAAGAATCTGATGTGGGTAGGTTAGGTTTCTGACGAGGAACAGTTTAAGTGTTCCATCAACATTAATTCTTTTTCTTTTTTTTTCGCCCTTTTTCGTGGCTCATTTTCACTCTTTAACTTTGTCCAACTTTGATTTTTGTTTAATAATTATATTCTCCTATATATAATGATATATCTGAAAATATTTTTGGAATATTTTGAAGAACATGTTTGGGCAACATTATAACCATCAGCTAACAATGACTTGACAAGAGTTGGATTATCCGTTGAATTCCGATGACTTGGTGGAAAGTATACTGTCCAGTTCAACGTCTACACTAACACTTCCTCGAGTTCTTATTATAAGGTATTTTGATTTCATTCTATGTTTAATTTAAGATGTCTTTTTTATTAGGAAAAAAATCTTGAAAATATATTTTTACATTCGTTGTATTCTCATAATTATAATGAAATATTTTTAAGGTTTTTATTTCAATTAAGAAGAAATCATAGATGAAATCTAAGACGAAATCAAAATACCTTATAATAACGACCGGAGGGAGTAGCGCAGTTTAGTCTTCCTTTCCAATCATAATTATAAGTAATAGAACGGGAAGGAAACAATATATATATGCTTCTACGATTAACCTTACTTTATAAGGGTATATACAGCCAGTTAATAGTAGTATTTTGTATCAACAGAGGAGATAGATCGATGGAGGAACTTTTAGCTAGTTAGATTATAAAGTCTTTGCAAGTTTCCAAAATTAATACTGCTCATCAAACAGTTTAAATATGTTTATTAATTGACCTCAATATTCAATATTGTACTACTCCTTCCCTTCCGTCACATAATTATTGTCCAGTTTTACTAAAATGAAAGATTTTATTTTTAGTCAAATTTAACTATATTTTACCTTAAACAACCGGATATACCCTTACATAAGTAATTATTTAACCACTAAGATTTTATGGATAATATTTTTTACTAAGGACAAATGTGTAACTTGATCCATAAAAAGTCAAATTGGACAATAATTTTGGGACAAAATTTTTTGGGCGAAGTGGACAATAATTATGGAACGGGGGGAGTATAATTTAAGTGTACGTCTATTATTTGGATAGAAAAGTACTTCCATGTTAAATAATGTCCAAAATTAGAACTTCATTAAGTGTGGTTATCAAACACGCAACAAATTTGATACAATTAGTATTTTGGCAAGAGAGTTCAAAGATATTTCACGTCAATTACAACATTCTCTAATTAGCTAATCAGGTCCAAACGTTTTGGTGTTTCTCCTAAGATTTATATGTTTTGTTTTGGTGTGTGGACATGTTACAAAACATACAACATTCTTAGTTTGAACCCTCTAAACAATGATGATATCCTAATGGTCCACCCAACCTTAATTTATTTAAATTAGGTTAGATCATTAATCGCAGTGATTATCCTAAAGACCTAAACTGTATAACCAAATGGAATAATATATCTCATCTAAGGAATGCTGGAAGTCAACTACAATCAAACCTAATTAACCACATTTTCCCCAAACTAAAGTACCATCCCCCCAAAGTGCAATTTCAAATGACTGTCTTATTTATTGTACTCTTACAACAAACATATCAAGTTATTTTGAGACAGGGGAAGGGATAATATATTTTACCTTGCAAAAAAAATTTATCCAGTTAGAATCCAAATTAACTGGATAGCTATTTTTAAAGCCTGTTTAAAAAAAATAAATCGAAGGAAAAGAAAAAAAAAATTTAGCAAGTCTTTTGTTCATTGGTTGACTGAATCGAGTTTGGATTTTGGAATAAAGCTCTTACTGCTTTACCCAGGAAACAACTGAGAGTTTGTACAGCAGTAAACAAGGAGTGAATTAAAGAACAGAATTTTTGCAGAAAAGAGGAAAAAGCAAGGGGAGAAAGAATTTGGACTCCAGATTAAATTTTTCATCACTTTTTAGCTAATTACATGAAAGAAGAGATATTGAGCATATATTGTACCACAAATGATCAACTCACATTTATAACAGAGAAGCAAATCTGTAAAAGAGAACAAAATAGATATTCCAAATTATACAACAAAATTTTATATTTTTTATTTAACATTTCCATTTTTCTGTAAAGAAGAGGAGAGGTCCAAGATTAAGATTTCCATTCTGCTCCACCATATTTATAAAATTGAGGAATTTTATTTTTTTTTTCTCAGTACCACTCCTCCCCTTCTTTTCACTTTCCTCAACCTCTGTCAACCCCCATTTATACACCATCACTCCTCCATAAACACACTTCACTAAAAAGAAACGCTTTTTTTTACACACAGTCACACACCAACCAATTTCTTTTTTGTTTTTGGGTCACATTCATATCATATCAAATGGGAAGAGGAAGAGTGGAGATGAGAAGGATAGAGAACAAGATCAACCGCCAAGTGACTTTCTCCAAGAGAAGAAATGGTCTGCTCAAGAAAGCTTACGAGCTTTCTGTTCTCTGTGATGCTGAGGTGGCCCTCATCATTTTTTCCAGTCGTGGAAAACTCTATGAATTCGGCAGTTCTGGGTATATATAATAAATCATCTCTTAGTTTACAAACAAAAAGGGTTCTTTTTTTTGTTCCTTCAAAGAATCCATCTTTATCTGAAGAACCCATGATAGATGCCTTCTTTTTTTCAAATGTGAAATTTTTGTAGAAAGAAAGGCATCTCATTTTGTTGCAATTCTGTGGTAGGAGGAGTTCTTTGCCTTTTTCCAGTACCCTTTTAGTTTTGGGGTTTTTTTTCTTAAAAAAAAAAAATCTGTTTTGAGTCTCTTTGATGATGAGTTCAGTTTGTGTTTTCGAGGTTTTTCTTGCTTTTTTTTTTCCCTTTGTTTTAGTGATTAAGTTCCAATGAGAGCTCGACACGTTTACTGTTCAGGGTTCTGTGACTCTGAGAAGAAGAGATAAGTGTACTAAGGAGTGTACTACTTATGAATGACTGACTAGGTTGTTGTGTTGGTTTCCACAGCAGGAACTTCCCCCTCCCAACCCTCTTGGACCCCTGTGCAAGATCTACTTCTAGGGTTTTTCCCCTCTTTTTGTTGTGTTCTTTTTTAGTTTTTACTCTCTTTCTTCTGTCTCCCTGTCTTTGAATGCTTCACCAGTTTTAGTGCAGTACCCATTAAGACATGGAGCTTTTCTTGGTCCAGTGGACTCAAAACTTTACCTTACTTTTTCATCCTTTTAGATCTTGAGGTTTCCATCTGATCAGTTTGTTGTTGTTGTTTTGCCTTTTTACCTTTTCTTACATCCAAGTCTTCAATCATTATGAGACCTTTGCATTGGAGTTCATTTTATAGATCATAAATTAATGATTCTCCTTTCCTTGAACCACAAAATTTATGGAGTTAAATTTTTGGCATATTTTGATATTGGTTTTGAGTTTAAAAATGGGGTTTTTATGTTTTTTTTTTTTCAAAAGAGTAATTAAAATTTTGTTCCTCCCATTCTTCCTTTGGTAGCCTGTTCAACGAGTAGTAGCATCTCTTCAAAGGTGATCTTAGCCCTTCTCAATTTCTTCTCTTTCTTGCATATTTTGGTGAATCTTTCTCTCTTTTTTTGGCTTATGGCTTTTCCTCATTTTTTTTCATTTAGTTTTCAGGCTGCCATTAATTGCTCTTCATTCCAGAATTTTACAGGTTGTTATGAGTTTAATATCTTGGAGAAGGGAAGGACTGAAATCTGAAGTCATTGATTATTCATTATTGCTTTGCTTCACTCATATTTGGTGAAAGTTTTTAGCTTTTTTACTGGAAACCTGGGGATGCTTTAGCTTAAAGAAACTCGTAGTTCTCTCCTGTGTCCAATATTTCCCTTTTTCATGTAACAAAACTTTTTCTCTGGATCTCTCTAGATTTTTTGGCCTCGAATTATAATTTTTCTTCCAGTTATAGTTCATGTCTGCCTTGAGTCTCTTTTCCCAAGAGAAACCCAAATTGAAAACGTTATCCTGCAAAAAGATGCTCTCAGTAATTTCCAAATAATTGAGATCCCCCCTTTGTGCTTTGGTCACGGAAGCATTGTCCCAAATTAAGTAACCTATTGTACAGTTTGCAAAAGTATCTATTGTCCCTCCCTCTTTCCTTAGAGGTGTTTAATGTCCAGTTTCCAAGTATCATATACCAAAATTGTTTAAGTTTTCAAGAATGTCATTAGAGCAAATGTGTGTAAGTCAATTTAGAGCTTAATGTTTGAAGTCCCTTGTTTTTTCTTTATTATTATTTTTTTAAAAAAAGAGTAATTTGGGATAAGAATGTGACTTTGGGGATAGCATTGTAATATGAATCAAACAGAAAAGAAGTATTAGCAGGGACCAGGAGTGCTTCTTGGACCTTGGTTTTATAACAAGTCCAAAGGGTACTTGCTCAAACACACATGAGTAGAAATTGTAACTGTTTCATTGACATCTGAGATGATTTTTTTTTTTTTTTTTTTTTGGACAGAAAGTTTTTCTCCATCTTTTTCCTTTTCATATCTGATTCATGCCCATATTTAATCTTTATCATCTTCTTTCAATGTTGTTATAGCTCAATCGAATGCATCATCCATTGTTTTACTCGAATTTCCATGAGCATAATTTTGCTACTTAGATGAGAAGTCTTCTCTTATACTAGTAATTTTAAGGCTGTATTTTTTGTTTGCTTTATTTTGGGCGTAAAGGAAAGGATTAAATTGAAGTAAAGTTTGTTCTCTGGAGATACCTTATTCACCAAAGGGTATTGCCTCAAAGAAGTTTTGGCATTTCATGTTTACTCCGGGCATGTATGTATATATATATATTAGCCAAAGACTGGCATGCTTTCCATCTTCCAAATTGAGTAAAATTAAACATTTCCCACTGTACAAAGAGTATAAATTGGGATTAAAAATATATATATATATATATATATATCTTTGGTGATGATGATTCTTCTTCATCGAATTGTCCTAAGTATGTCATGCATTAATAAATTATAAGGTTTATCGTCCCCGGGTTAAATTTATGCTTTGTAGGATGGAGTTTAAATTGATGAGATATGATTATTAAGGGACCTGAAAATAAAATGTTACATATTATATGCTTGTTGTTCCTTTCATTAAACCATAACAATAACAATGATTTGTTTTGATCATAACTTTGCAGGATAACAAAAACCATTGAGCGTTATGAACGCAGCACCTATAATCCCGAGGAAAATAACGTTGAGAGGGTATGTTTTTATTTTGTCACAGTCCATTAAACCATAACGGGACAGGGCGGGCTATCACTGCTTTATGATTTGTTCATTGTTGGATCTTAAAAATGTTTCCTTAAACGTAGTTTTTGTGAGAATATATTAGGATTATCTTTTCATAATATTTTGTTGGCAGAGTTGGTATCACGAGGTCTCAAAATTGAGGGCTAAGTACGAATCACTTCAACGCACTCAAAGGTGAATTTCATTCCTCATCATCTTAGTTTTTCAGCTATAATCTTAGTTTGTCAGAGTTGAAAATGGATTGAAATGTTTAAGGTATTTTTTTACTGGATACAAATTGTAGTGTATATATTCTGAATTGGATTTTTGTTGATGTGTTTCAAGGCAATTGCTTGGAGAAGATCTCGGTCCTTTGAGTTTGAAAGAGTTGCAGAATCTTGAAAAGCAGCTTGAGGGAGCTCTTACGCAGACCAGGGAAAGGAAGGTATATATGTCTCATACAGTCCTACTAAAAAATTTAAAGGAGATACTAACACCATTCTTCTTTCCAAATATTGTTAATTTCAGAATCACATACTGATGGAACAGATGGAAGAGCTCCGAGAAAAGGTGTGAAATGCACTACTACTTGTCTAGAAGTAATTGAGTTTCATATGAAACCTTAAAATCTTGTTTGCCGTCGAATAATAATAATAATAATATGTGAATTTGGTTGTTTTTGATGGTCAGGAACGCCAACTTGGGGACATGAACAAACAGCTTAAGATGAAGGTTTCCCTTGAAATGACAGCGGTACACAATTCATACTCATTCAACTCTACGGATATACATATCTCAGAAGCAAACCAATATTGAATATGTCAGTTAAACCCATTTTGGAAGATTTTCAATATTTTTTGCAGTTTGAGGCTGAGCAAAAAGCACTGATGATAGCCCTGCCTTGCCCTTGGAATACCAATGGACCAACAGGAAACCACATCTTTCCTGTTCAGATTTCTCATCAACCCAATGCAATTGAATGCCAACCTGAACCTATACTACAGATGGGGTACCCTACCATTATCTCTTACTAAACACTGTCTCCATTTATTATTATTTGTCTTCCTATCTGAAGAATATTTTTACTCTTCAATTTGTTCATGCAACTTTTAGATCAATATTCTTATCAGGACTTGATGACTTCAAAAGTACATTTGCATATTTAACAGACCTAGCTAGATATACATATATATAGCTGTCTAGGTGGTATAGTCTTTTGACTAGAGGTCTATCTGATGTCATAAGTTAGAAGTCTGCAGCCTTGAATAATTCCCATTCTCCCAAGTTGTAATGACCTTGATGTTTTACCATTTACTTGTTAATCAACTAGGACACAAACACTTCTCTAAGGTAGCAATATGTAATAGCTTTCTTTTGGGTTGGGTAAAAGAGGTTTAGACCCCTTCCTTAGCCAAAATCAACTGAAAGAAAGTTGGATGGGTTTTTCTTTTTCAACCATTCATGAAGCTGAAATGGTTGCCTTCAAGATTTGAATGACTTGAATCACTTGGTAAATCGAATGGATCATAAACTAACCCGATACAATATACTCCCTACGTCCCAAAATTATTGTCCAGTTTGAATTTTCACTTTTAATACGATTTGAACCAAAAAATTAAAACTCAAATTGGACAATAATTATGGGACAGAGGGAGTATAACACCTTGTATTTTTTTTTTTATTTTTTTTTTAACCTTTGTAGCTTAATTTATTCTATAACTAACTTGTAACAAGTGGATTCATTTATTTATTTATTTATTTATTTATTTTTTGGAGATAGGTACCATAACTATAATCCAGGAGAAGGGCCATCTTCAACTCCAAGGAGCTTGGCAATTGAGAGCAGCATTATTCAGGGGTGGGCTATTTGATGATCAACTATACTACTATTATAGCTGATTTCCACCCTCGTTTTTAAGTACATATTATATCATATATATATATATGCTGATGAGATTCCTAAGTACGTACGTAGTAGTCGAAGCTTTTGGAATTTTGTGCACGACAACAAAAAAAAAAGTAGTACTTACTGATGAAATGTTATTTTTGGTGGTCTTCCTCTCACATTGAAACCTACGGATTACTAAATTTTATCTTCTGATGATAATGCCAAAAATGAAGACTTATGTTCTCGTCTATTTATTTGCTTTTTGCTGCAACTATTTAATAAATCGTAGATCTTATTATGTAGAATCTAGCTAGCTATATTTAAAGTTTATACTATTTACTTGGACATAGATCATAATTTGCATCCTTTTAGATTCGTTGTTGTATTTATAATGCGTTAATTACTAGATTAGCACAGAAGGGGGATATATGTAATGAAGAAAATCACTATAGTGATAGTTCATCAATGGGAAGTGTTTCATGTTACAATAATAATCATATTATTTTTTTTTTCCATGGGAACAACCCCATCACTTGCAGCTGGCTGGGGAAGTGTTTTTTGTTCCTTCTATCCTAAAATATTTGTACATAATAAAAAAAATCAGACAATCATTTTAAAATAAATTGAATATTATGATATATGAACACGAGATCGAAACTGGCAGTTTGTCACCAGTGATATTCAGACCCACAAGCTGCCAGAGTTGGAGAATTGAAATACGCAGATGAAATCAATTAAGATTAAAATTATAATTTATTGCACTACAAATAACACGATTTTTTTGGGGCGACAACGATAATAAGAAAAATAAAAATATTGCCCAACTCATGTAAAGGTTTTTTTTTTTTTTTTTCATTTTGTTATGGTAGTTTAGAAAAAGAAAAAAAAATAAAGAAGAAGAGGACGAAGAAGAAAATAATTCCTGTGAAATCGAAATGCGCAGAATAAAAAAATTCAATAAAAAAGGAAATGTGCGCTTCCAATATTTCGATCAACTGGAGACATACTGATGATTAAATTTATGTAAGGCTATTGATATTATATTTATGTGATACTTTTCAATATTTAACACGTATTTTTATATTTATAAGATATCAGCAATTGGATCAAATCAAATTGTGAGTCGACTTAAATAAAAAAAAATAAAAAAGAATGGATTCGTATCAAATCAGTCATGGGTACGATGATAGTAATGTGAAAAGGGAACTGACCACTGAATCGATCCATATAATCAATGAATTGGCCGCTAAACATTTTTGGCCTCGATTTTTTATCTTCACCTCTTTACATTTTTAGGATAATCAAACTAAATTGTAGCAACATAATTTTTCATTTTTAAGGACGAAACAGCTAGTAAAATCTTATTTGAGGGCCCCTAAAATGAATTAAGCCAAAAGAAAATCCAGTTGGAATAAAGTGGGTGCGATATTTATATCGACAAATTATGAGGCTGCTATGTGACAATACATATGGCACAAACTAATATTCCACTTAAAATTTAATCATTTCAAGTTCAGTGAAATTCTAAATAACTAACACTCACTTTGCCATAAAATGGTTGTCTGGTTGGGTTTTCACTTTTAATACAACTTAAACTAGAAATAAAAATCTAAATAATAATAATTATTTCGGGACAGATGAAATAGTAACTATATATATGTGTGTGTGCACGCGCGTCTGTGTATACTACGATTTTTTCACTTCGTCTATCTTTATTTAGGGGTTTGTTCCCCCGTGTATATTAATAAGGATAATGAGGTGGGTTTTAACATTGGCTAGCAGCTGCAGCTTCCCGGCGAGGAGGAAAATGCCGGAGCTGATTCGCCCGGCCAGGCCAACACCAAGCAAAATTAAATTTTTATCCAACATTAATTGACAATCAAGGGGGTCTACGACTTCAGATTTTGGTATTCAGTTTTTATAAAGAAGAGAAAATAACGGTGTTTTTTTAGCATGACTAAGAAAGAAGAAGAGGATCCTGTCATGTTTTCAAAAAAAGAAAAAAAAAAGAAGAGGATCCCGTCAAAATAGTCAAAGCGGCTCTAGCTGAGGCATTAGTGTCTTACTATCCGTTTGCTGGGCGTATGAGACAGGACATGGAAAAAATAGGCGGCACCGAGGAGGGATTGATGTCTATTGGGGCGGAGACAAACATGTCATTCCCGAGCTTTGACGAGCTATTTTATGATGTTCCTGGCTCTAGTGAAATTCTCCATTCCCCTTTACTTTTGATACACGTCATTTATATTTTTTTCGTCCCGAAATAATTGTGTCTTACATATGCTTGTATGAAAAACTTGGCGATCAAAAGCAAAATCACCAATATTTCTGGTAATGAGAAATTAAATTAAAAAAATACTATATCCTCATAAAATTAACTAGATGTTAAACCCGTCCGTTGGACGGGACAACAATATTCAAATAGAAATAATGAAATAATAAAAAAGAATATTGTTGAAATGTATATTGTAAATGTTAAAAAGTATGTTAGAATGAAAAGTTATTAAGAAATTATTTTGAGAATACCATCATAAAAACAAACCAAAAAAAAAGCCTTACAGATTACTTTAACTTCAAATAAAAAAATATTTGGTTATATATACATATAAAAAAAAAGTGCAATTAAAAATTAACAGAAAAAGATGAAGATGATACGGATCAATACCATGTCCATCTCCCGTAAATCAGCCTCCTATTCCAGAATATTTTAATAAATAAAATAAGCACAAATACAAAGAATAAACTAAAATAACCAATTTATTAGCTAATAAAGGTTTATAAACATCATGTAAGTAAAATATTTGGATGGTTTAAAGTAAATTTATTCTTAGAATCTTTATGTTGGGTTGCTCTTCCACAATTTCTGCTTTTAAATGTGCTATTATAATCAAGCCTTTGCTCCCTCCTTTCCCTATATAATTTCAAAATTGTTTCTCTCTTTTTTTTATGACAAATGATCAATCACAATAACTCATATGTATAAGAAACATGAAAAAGTAATAAAATTAAATATTTACTTACTGTAACGTACATTTTAAAATAATTATAACTAAATTATTTTCTCATATATTTATTTATTTTAAATATTTTGCACTCTCTAATCAATATTCTGTTTGGTCTTAGTTTCACCCATACGTTTTTAGAGATTTACAATGTAGAATTTAGTAGTATATGTATCAAATTTTTTGCTCTCTTTATAATATCACTCAATTGTATCTTTCTTCATATATTCTTTTTTACATAACTTAAAGTGATTCTTATCGTATTGTATTTTAATTATTTTACATGTTCATTTATTTATTTTAGTTGTCTTGTATTTTCTACTTATAATTATGTGTTTTGCCAAAACATGATCCGTTATTTTCGCTTAGTGATGGCACATGATCATCTGTGCCGCTATTCTATTACATTCAATAATTTGGCACAATTTAGTTGTTTCCGTCAATATTTATACCATTCATTATCACTTTTGATGTTATATTTAGGACTAAGGGTTCACTTATTTTGGGTTAGGGTCTACTTATTTTAATTTTCATTTATAAATATTCACTAAAAGTGGTAAAAATTCATTGAAATTATAACATTATATAATACAAAAAATAAAATAGCCATATAAAAATTATCTACAATGAATATGTTTGTTTATGGTATATATATATATGTATTAACACAAAATATATAGTCAATAAGAAATAATTAGATTATTTGACAGAGAGTATAGCAAGAAAGTGAGAATTTAGTCCCGTTAATGACATCATTCAACTATTTTTTTTTCACCATTCATTCTTTTTCAAGTTATTTAAAATGATTCCTAACCTTATGGTATTTTAATTTTTTTACCCATTTATATATCTTATTTTTCAGAAACTTCCTATTTAAAATTTAATGGTAGATGTATCTTCTCTTTTTTTCCTCTTTAAATAATGACATTTGACAGTGGTTTTTCTCCATTTAGTATTTTTTCAAATAATTTAAATTGATCCTCAATTAATTGTGTTTTAGTTATTTTATTATTTTATTCAATTATTTCAATTAGAATAAATTTATTTTGTGAAACTATCACCCGTTTTCTCGTGATACCATTAAACTAATTTTTTCACCATTTGTTCTTTCTCAAGTTGATTAAAGGAATTTTTAAGTTATTATATTTTAGTTATTTTACACATTTATTCATTTATTTTGACTTCACACGTTTTTTTAAATTTTCTATTTTACAGCTTAATGGATAGATGTATCATTTTTTCATGTAATAATAATATCACTCAACTATATTTTATTCTATTTAGACTTTCTCATATAAGTTAATGTGATTCTCAATGTAGTGTGTTTCATTTTTTACCTATTTTATTCATTTATTTTAGTTTCACTTGTTTTAAAAAATTTTCTATTTATGAACATAAATTGGGGGTATATTCTTTTCCTTAATAATACCATGCAGCCTTTTTTTTTTTCCTCATTTAATCCTTCTTACAATATTTTTACTAATTGTAGATTTTTTTTTTTTTGTAAAAGATTAATTCTCAAAAGAAATGTGGTGCATAGAGATTTGAAGTTTGTTGAGATTTTTTTGGTTAGTAGTTAGTAATTCTTTTTTTTACCCATTTTATTCATTTATTTTAGTTTCAGTCGTTTTAAAAAATTTTCTATTTAAGAACATAAATTGGGGGTATATTTTTTTTTCCTTAATAATACCATGCAACCTTTTTTTTCATTTAATCCTTCTTACAATATTTTTACTAATTATAGATTTTTTGGTAAAAGATTAATGCTCAAAAGAAATGTGGTGTATAGAGATTTGAAGTTTGTTGAGATTTTTTGGTTAGTACTTAGTAATTTTATTTTATTTTAAATTTGAAATTTCTCTAAATTTGCCACATAGGATTTAATCCTATGTAGTATGAATGTATAACTAAGGCATTCTTTCTCTGAACTTTGCCTTAGTCAATACTAGATGCTTGTCCCGGACAGATATCCGGGCGGCCC